AACTCTGTTAACCCGAGGTTTGATATGCCTCCGGTTAGTGAGAGAGTGAAGCGTTTGAAAATAAAACACCTTAACACTGTCTCTCATCACATTTTGTGAAAAGCTTCTTATGTACGGTTTTTGTAAAAACAGAGTAATAAACTCCTGTAAGGTAGACAACAATATTATAGGGCGTCCGCAAAGTTGGGGTTTTCCTTTACACGACGTGTAGATCTTGATAACATAAGCAATTTTTCTTAGTACCATATACACTAATGTCTTAAGGGAACCGAGATAAAGGGCTCTGCAACATCAAAATTATCTGAATACCGTCCTGTAGCCACGACCCGCCGCGATATCCCCGACTGGTACAAGGTCTCAACCCGACGACAGAAACTGGGTCGGGGTCAGTGTGTCAGGTTCGTATGCAACCTTCAACCGACGGTTACGGTCACGCGTGTAGAGGTAAACGAACCCGTATAATCGATTGCGTTTCAAAAAACAACAAATCCAACGTGTAAAAGCCCTTCAACCTGACGATTTTCCAGCAAGCGTGCGGTTTTGTGAGTGGTTGTTGCCATCAACATGACAATAATCCGGACTTTTTGAAGTGCATATTGGTGACAGACGAATCTACGTTCACGCGTAATGGGGTGAATAACTTTCGCAACACTCATGTTTGGTCAATAGAAAATCCGCACGCTGTCCGTCGGGCACATTTTCGGTGAATGTTTGGGCTGGCATGGTGAACGGTTATGCTCATTGGACCATTTATTCTCCCAAATCGATTGGACGGGATGCAATACCTAGACTTTTTACGCAACATTTTGCCTTCCTTGTTAGAAGATGTTGCCATTAAGTGTAAGACAATCAATGTGGTTTCTGCACGATGGTGCACCGCCCATTTTAGACGCGAAGTGCGTGAGTTTTTGAATGAATTATTTCCGAATAGGTGGATCGGACGTAATGGACCCGTAGCGTGGCCTCCGCGATCTCCAGACTTAACACCATGCGATTTTTTTCTTTGGGGAGAAATGAAACGCTTAGTGTACAAAACTGAAGTGCATACGGTTGACGAACTTCGTCTCAGAATTGAACAAGCTGGTGCTTTCATTCGGGGGAGGGACTCCATTCTAAAAGCCTGCACCGATGCTTGGCTACGACGTGCACGCACCTGTGTATTTGAATCAAACGGCGATAACTTCGAACAATACCTATAAAGTACGTTTACCTAAAAACGCGGAAAACGCCGTCATATTTGTTACCTCTGTTCGTGGTCTGCACCACCGCCGGCGTCTGCTCGGTTAGCGCATCAGCTGATTTCATTTTCTGTTGGAGCGGTATGATTCGGGCAGAAACGTACTTAGCCCTTCTCGTCAACTGGAGAGTGAGTACTTTTTCCTTTATTTTTTTTACTTGGTCGCCCTCGTTTCACTACACATTACCTTTGTTATTTCAAGGGTAGTTGTTTCTGAAAAGGAAAACCCCAACTTTGCGGACACCCTGTATACAGGCTGTACTAAAAGTTTGGAAAGGCATCAAATATCTGACGAATGACTCGTCTAATTTTGTTAAAAATTGGTAGGTTTAGGTTCTAAACCACGGCGGATCCGTTGATGATATCCGCGATGTCGCCAAATCTATAGTTTTCGGAAAATTGATAGCAACTTTGTTTTTCTTAAGGAATGCTATACATTTTATTTGCGAGAAATTCTGAGGGTGTTTGATATGGTATTTGTTTTGTTGTACTCCATGGCTTGCTTCTATTAATTGTCTGTTTCGTATATACCCATAGTGAATATGCATTTAAATAAAAAATATGCTTTTGTTATTAGCATTACTTACTAACCTTTGGCGATATTTTTTTTAACTGTATCAAAGTAGCCGCTAGTCTTCTTCTCTCCGGCGGCCGATCCGCTTGTGGCTCTGAACTCCTGCATGTAAAGTGCTGTCATCAGCGAAGCCGTGGATCAGATTCGTCGTACAGGAAATGAGGTCGTCGATATTCAATATTTAAACCTGGCTATTGGATGAATACAATCCGCTTGGACTCAAGGATCATCAGACAATCGGTCAAAGGTCAAACACACTATACAAGTGACTGGAAGAGCTTTCACCGTTCCAAAATCGACATGCCATAACCCGAAATACGATCTCGAGAGTGCGGTTCAGAACCGCAAGAGGGGAATATTAAACGTAAATTTGAGGGAAGATCAAATTTCGCGAGTTTCTGTCTATGCGGAGTGTCTGAAAAGGGAGAGGACATGGGACCCTTTAATGCGACAGTGCGGTGACATTTACTCACGAATGGAAACCCGATATACGACGAAATATAATAGCTGCGTTATTGAGGTGTGCTTTGGGAATGATCCGGTGGTGGATAAAGGATTCGGTTATTGTAAGATTTGAAACGTATCCTGTGGTTTACATGTCGATAATAAAAACCACATAAATTGACAGAAGCTCTTTACTGTAAATTTTTCAATCAAGAAAGTGATAAGGACCTATAGGGAAATTTTCGATGCCCACTTTCTATTACCCTCGTCTTACTTTCTACCAATCAGAAAACGCGCAATTTTTATTACAATGGCTTCTAGATGGAAAAATAGTATGACAGCACCTGCACGCAATTTTTTCGCGTTTACCCGCGGCAAAAACTTCGTTTCCAGCCACCCGCGACAGAATCTTTTTTTGGACTAATATCATTCCAAAGTCACGTGGTTACTGGACGAAGTTGAAATTCGCACAGTGTTGCCAGATCACTTGCAGTGTTGCCAGATCACTTGCAGTGTTGCCAGATCACTTGCAGTGTTGCCAGTCTCAGTACTTTTCTGCTACACCTCGTAGTTATCGTTACAGATT